CGAACCTCCTTCATCCGTTTACTGAACAATTCTCTGAGCATTCCGGTGCTAAAATACTGGATCAATTACAATTTGATCAAACAAAGACGAAAATAGCCCAGTTACTGGATTTCTGTACTGTGCTGTTTGATGAACAGAATATAAGAAGTGATGCAATTAATGCGAAGTTGTTAGTAATAGTTAGCGACGGTCGCGGAATATTCTCTGAAGGGGAGACACGCGTCATACAAGCGGTGCGGCGCGCGCGCCAGCAGGGAATATTCTGCGTATACATTATTATTGATAATCCTGATAATAAGGTAAGATAACGTATACTAAATATTACCAAATATAAACAATATTGTTGCCTATAGATCTAAATTTCATTTATCTGAAATCTACGAGATTTTTCAATACTATTCGTTATTTTTCTAAAATCTCACATTTAACGTTTCGTTACATGAAAGATAAGGATGTATGTAGAAGGGTGTATAATTCTATGAGGTAGACGGAGAGATTTTACAAAGTGTTTCTCAGTTATCTATATTAATATAATATAGAGGAAAGATTTGTATTTATGGATTTTTGTATGTATTGAAATTACTCAAAAACTACTAGATTTCATAATTTCAAAAAATCACTATTAAAAAGCTTTGTTATCGCCAAGTAATTAAGGCTATATTTATACCTTTTTTTTTAAATTCACACAAGCGATTTCGCGTGCAAGAGCTAGTAATGAAAAGAACTTGTAATAGCGAGTTTATTTCAAAATTACTAAATGTGCTGTTCCAGGATTCGATAATGGACATCAGACGTCCCGTGATGGACCCTGTCACGAATACTCTGTCAGGGTTCGTATCCTACCTTGACGCGTTCCCCTTCCCTTACTACCTCCTCCTGCGGGACCTGGCGGCGCTCCCCTCCGTGCTCGGGGACGCGCTCCGGCAGTGGTTCGAGTTGGCAGCTAATGTATCCGGTTAAAACTGAATTTAGTTATCTTGGCACGTCGGGTAGTAGAGTGCTCTTGTTCCTGAAGTGCCAAATCAAATATGTTATAGTATAAGTTAAGTAATAAGTTGTTTTTGTTAATTGTTTTGAGTTTTAACTTAAATTTACCTTTTTTTAGTAATCAATAATTGATATTCAAGTTAAATTGCAATGAGTATTATGAATGTATAAGTCCTTTTTATTAAGTGAATTCCAAAAAACCTTTAGTCAACACGCTACATTTCGTATTGTAATTTTGTGTTAATGTAATTAGTTTTCATAATATTCCCTAAAGTGTAGCCAGAATGATTAATGCAAACCGTTTTACTGTAATCAGGATTTGTGGGCCAAAATGTGTAGCTAGGGAAATTTACAATTTATCCAGAAGATAAATGACAAATCATATTTTCATCAAAATATAAGCTTATGTCCGTTCCGGACCCACAGTTGAAATAACTAAAAAAAACAGCTAGAAACGTACTGGCAATTAAATAACTACTTAAAATTGGATTTAATTGTAAACATAAAATTAGGTATAAAATAAACTCATGATCTGTGATTGATAGCACATTTGTCTATGCTTTATAGAATAAATAGCATAATGCAAATAAAAGACAATCTAGATCATGTTTTAAAATGTACATAACAATATCAGTGTTTTATTTCTTAAGTGTCCGTTAGCTTCGAGTTTAAGAGAAAATAAATTACGATTATGTTAAGAATTATATTTTTTGTTTTAATGTAAGTTTTGTTTACATAATAAATTATGTAAAATCTTTTATTGTTTTTGCAATATAAAAATATCATAGATGATACAGGAGTAGAGACATAGTCTTAAGATATGTTTTATTCAATGTCCTATGAAAATAAATCATATTAATCAAACTTAATTTATTTTATAGCTTGGCTTGTTACGTTATCTGATCTTACGTGAAAGTCAAAATGCCTGATGTACCATAGCGAATTTTAATACCACTTACCAAAAAGAGGACCTTAAATGTTCTACTATATAGTACCTTACTCAAAAAAATACCATCTCCAGAAAGAAAATAAAATGTACCTAAAAAGTACCTCAATTTAAATTCCCACAATCGAGTAGTGTCCGAAACTCGCACGAATAGGCCGACCCGCCCGGTGTGACCTCGAAAACACAGAAGACAAGCGTGTGTTTCGTTTGATAACTGTGGTATCGGAGGTCCCTTTCCCATTCCATCCTCTTATAAGAAAGTATTGGATGGGAAAGTGGATTTGACGGTGAAACAGACTCATAGAAAGGGGAAATATTCTCTTTATGTGCGCCTCCTCTTACGTCTATTTAGGTTTTTACGGATTTAGGTGACCGCTTGCTCGCTTGCTAGCTTATTGTTTAAAAAAATTGGTACACCCGTCATTTTGACTAACTATCCTACAGTGGTTTCTCTTACCGACATACTAAGTGAAAAGGGGAATAGGAATAAAAATGAAACAAAACATTTGTTTATAAAAATATTATTGTATATTTGTCAACCGAAAAATGAAACAATATTGTAATATTTCGCTTAACAATACTTTGGATAATTAACAGAAACAGGTCTTAATACAACATGTTAACATTTATCCCTAAGGTTACATAATGATTATAAATAATTTTATACCAACTTCTTGAACGCACTTCAATAACTTCCGCGCAACGCCTTAACTTACCAAGAAATATTGTTCCTAAATTGAATTTTACAATATTTCAACGCACCTCTTAGTAACTAAATTTCTAATATACATATATTTACAGTATTCGTTTATAAATATTTGATACAACACTACTTGGTTTGGATTTTCAACGTCGAGAGCCAATGGACTATGAAAGTTAGTACCACGCTGTAGAATTGACCCAACACTATTTATTGCCATAAACGTCACATTTCTAACTGACAGCTGTCAATGTCATTACACGTATTGGTTTTTTGCGCGCGATTCTGGCGACAAATGTGGCTGAGTTTTTAAGTTATCACTACAGTATCAATTATATAAATTGATTAAAACTAAGTAGATACGTGAATACTTATAAACGAATCTGTAAAATAACAATCCAAATAATTAAAAACTATTGTAAAGTTCATAATAAAATATACTAAATCATAAAAAAATATTAAATATGTTGACATAATGCTTTTCAAATATCTTGGCGGCCCAAGAACTTCGTCAAAGTTAACAGCCGCCAAAATATATGAAAACTATTAAACTAAACAAAAGGTTAAATTATGTTAGAACCGATACTGGATCTAAGGAAAGGTGTGTAAATAAATATGAATTAGATATCGACTTGCTTATGTTTCCACTGACGAAACATTTACAAAAACATTAACCATCTATTGTATTGGATTTAATCCGTCTTTTCCTTTTGTTGTTTTCTTCCTACCGTTTTCTTAAAATACGATGAGAAGGGGAAATAAATACGATGGAGGAAGGGGAGATATATTTCTGTAATTCCCCTACTCTATATTATAACGCATTAATATTTTATCAATTGGTTGGAGATATCTATGGGCTAAATTCGCTATTTTGGCCAAAAAGAACATATAGTTATATAAATTAGGAAACGAGCAAATGGGGTAGGTATTTATATGTTTTTTTTTTTTATTTTTGTAAATGTTTCAGCAGTGGAAACCCACAATTGCAGTATCGTTTGCCCGACGACATATTTGAGCGTGTTTAAAGCTGTCCCGAACAAAACTTTAATATAAGAACTTACGAAAAAAAAACCTTTATCACTGAACTTGTCTATGGTCTGTTCATTCTAGAGAGTTCCCTCTGATTGTTGGCTGGACAGGGTTTTACCATAAATTCACTTAAAAAGAATAGACCATAGAGTTTTGTATTTCTAATGTATATTGAAGACCATATTGGTGATTTATTTTCGAGACCGTTTATAAACTGACTACATTGGACCCTTTTCACTACATTTTGAATAATTATATTGCAATATTCACCTCACTATTAATATTTGTCAAAAAATAAAATCTTCCTTTATATATGTTAGAGCTTATTTTAGAATATAAAGAAAATAAGTTACAAATTCTTCGAAAACAGTTTCCTATCTTGCAACTAAATATTGGTAATTTCAGCAAAATTATTATTTTTATATTTGTGAAAAGCGATTATCTAGTAAAAATATAGTTTACAATTGCATAATAATTGGTCAAGATGCAGTATGATGGTTTTACATAAGGAAATGTATTTAATACATGTATTTATGAACCTTATGAAGTATGTCGTTCATTCGGTCTCGTTCACTTTGTTTCCTTGGACGAATGATTGTTGGTCTCTTCAGTCTTTTCGCCGTCACCGTAGAATTTCGGCTGGAATACAAATTTAGACTTTATTTATATTGTTATATGAAGCATTTTTGTACAATCGAATGATACTTCGATTTAAATACTGTTTACAAAAATAACAAGCGAATTCTAATATTTGTCGCTATAATGGGATTTAACATTAACAAAATCAAGAAGCTATTTATGTAAATTTCATTGAGAAAATCAAATTTAATTGCCTTGAAGATAAAAAAATATGGTAGTAAATATTTATAAACAAATTCCAATAGTGTATAATACAATTGAAATAATTAAGGAAAACAAACGAAAAAGCACATAATTAATAAATAAAACAACACAAATGTTTAGTGAAAATGAAAATATGCTAAAACACTACTAAAAGAGATATGTTTTAACTTTTGTATTAAAAAATATAATACAATGATAAAACTAAACAACAATTTTTAATAACATTGCTATAAACGGGAAAAAAATTCATAAAGTAACAACAAAATTGAAGTAGTGCGTAAAAATGGTAAATTTTCTTACTAAAGTTGTTATTAAAAAAACTAAACACAACTAAAAAAATATCTAAAAACAAAATTACCAATTCAATATTTACAATGGTTATTTAGGTTAATGTACACTAGCATAACCGTGGGTTTACATGCCGAGTCGTACAAAATCATAACATTATCTCTTATATTTGACAAAAAGAGACAACAATATATAGACGTATCAGCAATGGAAACCGACGTTAAAATACGAAAATGAAACAAACAAAACCACACATGAAATGTAAACCAAGCGTGTGTTCATCATGTAACTTACAGGGTCTCAATTCCTACTATACGGTAGTCACTTTATTGGTGAATCCATTTTTGACACCGTTATAACTTGTAAAGCCCTAGAAATAAATAATAACACATTGATGGGACAAACAATTTACACTATTACTCCAGACCTTATACTTTTAAGGACATGGATTTTTTTTATTGCAGCTTGTATGAATGTTTAAACCAAGTTAATGTAATGTGAAATTAACTTTTAATATGTGTTATCAGTTTACAACTTAGTATTGTAGATGAATTAAGTCTTATCGTGAGATAAGTAGAGCTTGATATACAACTTTCAATACTATTTTACTGTACTCAATTCAATAATTTTTTTAAAAATAATGAAAAAGAGATGTGCTTCTTTATCATACATCTGTTAATTTGCCTTATGCTAAGGGTGTTATGACGTTTTTCAGTATCACATGAAACTGATGTTTGATGTGTGACGTGTATCTTGTTTTTGAGACTTTTGACAAGTGTAACGTGAGTAAAGCGCGTGACAAGTGTAACGTGTGTAACGCGTGTGACAAGTATGACGTGTGTAACGCGTGTGACAAGTGTAACGTGTGTGTCAAGTGTAACGTGTGGGACAAGTTTAAAGTGTGTGACAAGTGTAACTTGTGTGAGGTATGTGACAAATGTGTAGTGTGTGTCAGGTATGACAAGTGTGACGTGTGACGCGTGTGTCGTGTTACACGCGTAACATGTGACTGACCTCGTCGTGGCTGTGGTCTGCGGGCCGCTGTCGTCGTCCGCAGAGGAGTCTCCGCCCGACCCTGCCGCATCCAGCGATTTCACTGTTTAAATACATTATTTATTAAGCCAAAGCTGACTGTATTTGTCTATATATTACTAAACCATTTTTTTTAATTCAATTCAACGAAAACAGTTTTACATAATTGTGTTAACACAGCTTGGTGCCATTAAACATACAATGTTTATATTGGCACTGCACAATTCACATTTTAATTAAAAGTTAGTTATAGGTTACAAAATAAATTTTAAATAATTTATTAATTACATTACTTTACAGAATAGTATTATAAAGGTGAATGTTTAGACATATGGATGTTTATTAGTTTGTAGCCTAAGCTACTAAATGGATCCCAATCAAATTTGGCATAGATGTAAAAGGTAGTCGGGAAGAACAAGTAGACTATTTTCTTTTGTTTTTTTTTATACCACGCCGACGGAGTCATGGGCGAAAGGTAGTTTATAATATTACTAAGTGAGAGACCTGTGGGTGTGGTCGCGGGCGGCGGCAGACGCGTGCGGTCGCGCGTGAGGTGGTCGTAGCAGTGCAGGCAGACGCGCAGCGGCTTGTCGCTCTGTCCGCGCAG